GTGTGTGTAATTCAATTAGAATATCTCTTATTTTTGTTGCTAGATATAATTAATGACATTAATGCCAGAAGTTCTTTCTTATTAAGCTTAAAACTGTTTGCCTAAAAGAAAGCTTATAGCGAAGTCAAATTAAAATGCCCATATTGTTCATAATTTGTAGAGTCTGCTAGAATACATTTACATCATTTAAAGGGGTGGTTGACTGTTTTTTTATAGGCTTGATTGTGTTTATGGGGTGCAGTCTAACATGTGTTAATGCTTCGTTTGTTAAAAAACGCATTATTTTTCACATAATTTACCTTTATTCCACACCGTTCTGTCCCTTCTCCTCTCAACGCGCTGATCGTTTCCTGCTTTTATGAAGCCCCTCCCTCAGAAATACACGATGGGCTCTGATTGATTAGCTGGCCCAGTGTGTTGTGATTGGCTAAACCACCTCTAGCATGCGTCTAAACGTCCCGCACCTCATAACTATAGTATGTGAAAATAAGTGTATTCACTGAGCTGATGATCTGAATGAGAGAGAGCGAGAGAGATGCAGAGTGTGTGCAGAGCAGGGCCAAGCCAGGAACAGGATGAGAATGCTGCTTTAGAACATTGATTTTGAAACTTGTGAATCCATTAGAATCGTTAGAAGACAGAATCGCAATTCATATATGAATAGATTTTTACGTGCACCTCTAGTTTTCTCTTCCTCTTCTCTAAAGCAGCGCAGCATGGCCTCGCCCCCTTTGCTGCGTGTTCCCGGAGGCGGAGTTTATGTAAAATTCTGTGTTCTTGACCTAACGGACCCGGGAAGTAACTCGTTGAAGTCCCTTACCAGTTGTTTTTGTAGGCATTAAACTGCCAGAATTTTAAAAGACGATATCTCCGTTTGCATTGTACTTTCAGCTTCGTAATGTTGCAGATATTGTTTATGATCAAACAGCAACATTACACACTAACTAACATTAAAAAAGTGAAATCGCAATCAACCACCCCTTTAAAGTAAAAAAAAATAATAATAATATTTTTCTCATACTGTACATTGCTTCAGCATTATTGTAACAATAGCTGACTCAGAGGAAGATGGGAATCATGTCTCTGTGGCAGTATTCTTCTGGTGATTAAGAAATAATACAAGACTTCTTCACCTTACAAATAGTTGTCAAAAGCAAAAAATGCTTTGAAATGCACATATTTTGTGAAAAAGTGTGACATGCTAGAACAAAACATCATGGGAATCACCCCAAAATTAGTAAGAAACAATTATTGGATTTCATTAAGCAATGATCTGATAGACATTAGTCAGGTGGTCTGATAGACATTAGTCAGGTTAGATGCCATATGAATTTTTACACTGATGAAAACGAGACTGTGAGTGATAGACTTACAGTCTTTACAATAGCATGCACTGAATAAAAGTCCTACGTGACATAATTTTCACCAACTCACAATTTTTAAAACAGAGTTTTAAAACAGTGTTTAATGGAGTTTTTGTCTACTAAATGTTTTATCAGGGGGAAAAAAAAAAGTTTCTTCAGCTGAACAATCGGTATGTTTTTAAACAACAGTACAATCTATTGAACTCTGTACTTCTATCTCTCACAGCCTCATTTTCATTCCTGTCAAAAATTAAATATGATGCTACCCTAACTAAGGTCTATAGGTACCAAAGACTGCAAAAAAGATGGACAATGCATCTCCACTTCCCTTCACTACAGAAAAGTGAAGCCAAAACATTCCAGTATGGCCGCTGTCATCTTGCACCAGTGACGTAATTTGGAGGCTGAGTCTGTGTAGATTTGATCATGATCTGGAGCCACAATATCAAAGTCCTGCCTGTGACGAGAGGGGCGGGGCCGAGAGCCGTGGGAACGGAGCGAGGCCGGTGGAGTAAATGCTTAAAATGACGACAGTGTTGGAGGAGAGAGGACCAGGCCTGGACTTCTCTCCTCAACACTGTCGTCACTCCTCCTTCTATCCTTCCGGAGCTCCTCCGTGGGACTCAAGACCGGTGAGTGGCGCAGGTGTCGTGCATTCGCATTTACTCCACCGGCCTCGCTCCGTTCCCACGGCTCTCGGCCCCGCCCCTCTCGTCACACCTCCCAAACTCCAGCAGACCCAATTGCAAGCACACAATCATGACACCACACCTGTTTTTATAGAATTACATAACTAGCTAAAAGCAAAATTGTTAGAAAAACGAACACTTTAACTGACATCAGCGTGATAAGAACTACCTGAAATGATGGAAACCATCACCAAAATTTATTTGAAGTGTAATTTGATTATTTATTTTGGCTCACATCCCAGGGCGGGGTTTATGACCTATATTTTAGCAGCCACCAGATGGTGATCAAAATGTTTTGTCCCCGCTTTTCAGAACATGTGAGGCACACTAGGTACCATGAAAGGTAGTGTATACAATTTCTGCACTACTAATGTCATCTAGCAGAACAACAAAAATAAAGCATGTTTTCAAACAACCTTCTCACGCCTTCCCCGACACAAACATTACAAGCAGAGCTCTTACAGGTCTGTGTCTGAATGGGTAAAAGTAAGGTATTTTCAATAAATGGTCAAACATATTAGTAAAACTTTTAACTTAAAGTTTAGCTTTCCTGTCGAGAAGAAAAAAATTGCCTACCCAACCTTTAATACACAACATATTACACTGAAAGAAAGAAAGAAATATTAAAAAAGGCTAAAAGTTGGGAAATTTTTTTTTTAAATGTTCTTCATGTAACTTCATAAACTTCAAAATAACTTAAATGTGACCCTGGGCCACAAAACCAGTCTTAAGTTGCACAGGTATATTTGTAGCAATAGCCAAAAGTACATTGTATAGGTCAAAATTATCGATATTTATTTATGCCAAAAATCATTAGGATATTAAGTAACACTCATGTTCCATGAAGATATTTTGTAAATTTCCTAACGTAAATATATCAAAACTTCCTTTTTCATTAGTAATATGAATTGCTAAGGACTTTATTTGGATAACTTTAAAGGCGATTTTCTCAATATTTAGATTTTTTTGCACCCTCAGATTCCAGATTTTCAAATATGGCCAAATATTGTCCTATCATAACAAACCATACATCAATGTAAAACTTATTTATTCACCTTTCAGATTATGTATAATTCTCAATATTAAATTAAGACTGGTTTTGTGGTCCAGGGTCACAAATTTGTTGTAGAAAAAAACAAGAAATATTACTGTATATCAAATTTTAAGGCATGAAAAAAAAGAAACAAGAGTTTTGTAGAAACTAAACATGTTCTGTCTGTAATGTATAAATCATTCTGAAGCACCTAGAGTGAAAGCTCTTGGGAACTCGGTGATCTCTGGCGCTTGTAGTACAACCTGTGGTGATATGCTTGTGAGTGTGTGGCGGAGACAAAGGGAAGGCCGGCAGAGGATGGCAGGGGATGGCAGGTTCAGTTTTCACTGTATAATTAGGCATAATTAAAGAGAATTAAAGATAAGTTCCATAGAGTGTTACCATTAATAGGGAT